TAATACAGAAAGTGGTAATTTTCCATTAATGCACCCCTCTCTAGGTTCAAATCTTTCTAAAATACATAGAGGTCTGTTGTTGAAATGTGACATAATATATTCACTTAACAGAATTCAAATTTCCATTTGAAGATAAGACATATTAATTGAAATATAAACTAATAGTTGGGGCTAATAAAGGACCTAGAAAAGTCAAACGCTCTCATAGCTTTTTTTTCTGATTGACTTAGCTGTTTCAGGATATGTAAAGGCTTTGGGTTTCATGCCTAGACTGGGAACATCATGCTGTATTAGTAGCAGTGAGGAACGTGACTGACAGTTCATTAAGCCAGGATGTGTGCTCACAGACAATATGAACCAATAAGCTACCCCTTAGACGAGAGCAGTGCTCTTTAATTGAGGTTTTTGTGCATTTTTGAAAGTGAGTTGTCTTGCAGCCATTGTTAGTTTTTCCCCCACTGACACATTTTTTTATTATCACACCCTAATGATGGCTCTGGATGAATGATTGCACCTGATTGTAAACGATCAATGCTTTTTAATTGCTGACACAAGCACAAGGCGGTGCAGAAGAGGGGAGGTGGAGCAGCCATCTGTTGAGCAGCCCATCACCAAGCTTGCATTGCTCTTTGTCTCTGCTCAGTCATGCCACAGGAAAGTGGGACGCAGTCGATAACTCTCTATTAGTCAAGCCCTGTTTTAATTAAATGATTCATGGATCGTCTCTGCTCTGCAACAGTAATGTGCTCAAAGAAAAACAAATATATTCTTAAAATACACATTTAAATAATTCATAAAAAACTTCTTAGTGTCTGTTCCTTCCTTCCTTCCTTCCTTCCTTCCTTCCTTCCTTCCTTCCTTCCTTCCTTCCTTCCTCCTTATTTTTTTCCTTGTTTTTTATTACATGTATTTCCTCCTTTCATATGTCCTGTTATATTTCTTCCTTTGTGTTGTTTCTTTATGCCTAACTTTATCTTTCCTCATTTCATATTACCTTCCTTAATGGTACCTTGAATTCTTTCTTCTTTTTGAATTCACCTTCAAAGCCCCCCTTTGCAGTAGAAACATCTACAATGCTCTCATGTCTGACTTCTGTATGTGTTAAAATTGAATAAGAACTCTGAAAATAATTTCTGCAGCATAACTAATATAGTGAAGTGAGGTTTTATTTGTGCTCTGCATGTTTGTGTAAAACTCCCCTGTGTGAAGGAAGGAAGCTCAAGGCGGTGCTGCAGTGGATTAGCTGGCTGCATTTATTTAGAGCGCAGGAGCTTCTGCTGGGGTCAGATCTGCAAGAATGCAGCACATCTACATGCAGAGCAATGAACATTTTGAGGTCTTCACCACTGTCTTGGCTCCACAAGGTGAGTGGAAGCACATCTGCAGTGAAGTCTGGTTTAGCATGACATTATTTAGTGTTGCTGATAGTTCAGAATCAGCTGATGCTTTGCTTTCTCTCCCGGTAAACTTGATAAGTCAGCTACAGGATGCCTCTGCAGATTTATGTAACAATTTTTTTTTTTTTTTTTGCCTGTTTTCTCTACTCTTTCAAACTGAACAGCAGGAAGAAATAGATACAAAGCAGAAGCTGAAAAGGCAAGTTAATCTTTTTTTCTTTGCCCAAACAGCCCTTAAAAAATAGATGCTCTGAGTTTCTGGAATAATATATGTAAAAACTCACATCAGTAGGTTTTTGATTAATCTTTCTTAAAGTATATTAACTCCTCTGACCGTAATGCATCATTATAATGAGTTATATATTGAAGACTAGATCCACACTGAAGGTTTCTATTTTACTGCAGTTAATCCCTGAGCTTTGACACATAATCCTCTTCATTCACACTGTCCTGCCTGTAGGCTGAGCTCATTAACAGCACCATCACCCACTGTTTCAGTTCTTAAACCTAATGTTTTATTTATCTAGAAAACAATCTAGAATTTTCCTATTTAAAAGAAAATCAAATACAGTTCCCTCTGTGTCCGCTAGATGGTGGTGGTGCGCAGCTACAGGCCCCACTGGCCAGATGAGCTGTTCCTAGCTCCAGGTGACGTCATCATGGTGGTATCCAAGCATGAGGAGGGGAGGTGGTTTGGGCGGCTGCAGGAGGGCCAGTGGGGATACTTCCCTGCTTCATGTGTGATGGAGCTGGGCCAGGTTGGTTGGCTTCATCAGTGAAGCTCCTCCTGTTTAACACTGAGGGCAAATTCAAGTATTTACACCACTTAGATTTATTTCACATTTTTTCAAGGCATAGCTTTGAATTTTTTTTAAACCAATTTAAGTATATATCTTGTAAAATGGCCTAAATATGTAATCTTTTGAGTTTTTCTGCCAGCTTAGTTCCAGAGATTAATATATTTGACAAATGCTAAAAAGAGCCAAGATTGGTCAGAAAGCTTCAGCATTTAATATAAAAAGATTATCCCAACTGAGCTGTTGAGGTTCATGCTGTTAGTTGCAGCATAATTTATTTGGGGGCGTCAGGGTAAAGGTGTCTGGAAGGGATTTCCCCCGTTAACTCTTCCCTTTTTAATTATTTGTAAGACACGTTTTAAAAACTATGCATTATGTTCTCTCACTTTTGCATTGAAATCTGAAAAAAAAAATACATACTTGAATATGTGGTTGTAAGTTGAACACTTTAACAAAGTTCAAGATAAGTGAATTCTATGACTAAATGCGTGTCAATTGTCAGGGTTCCTCTTGTACCCGAAGAAAGAAAATAAAGCAAAATTTGATCCGAAGCAGGGATTTCTGAGGGTTCTGGTGCAAGAC